AATAATTTGAAAAGGTTTTTTTTTTTTTTTTTTTGGTTATTACAAATCTTGATCTCTTTTTTTTGATCCTGTGGTAAGTCAACATTTGGGGCAATCACACTTATTTTTTTGAATGGTTGCTTCTGGGACTCTCTATTCCTTGCTATGAACTGCAGTGGTCTTTTTCACTTAGGTAATTTAAGTTGTCATCTTTTGATGAATTTATTTAAAGCTAAAAGCTTTTTCCTTTTCTTCTGTGAAGAAAAAATTATGGTTAAATGTAATGATTCATACAGGACACTGTCAGAAAACCAGTCAATTTAACAATGAATTGACTGACTATAATGCAGTCTCTTTATGTTTAAAATTAAAGTTTATAACTCTGTGATATTTATTTATTGCAGGATGTAATTAAAACCATTGTACAGAGTGGTGGCATCAAGCATCTAGTTACCATGGCAACTAGTGAACATGTAATAATGCAGAATGAAGCCCTTGTTGCTTTGGCACTAATAGCAGCTTTAGAGTTGGGTAAGTACCCCAGTGTCTAACTTATTTTCTCCTATTTTTATCTTGGATGAAATGAAGCACAGGAGTGGAATAGAAATCAACAAAACTAGAAGCATTTTGCCAGCATGTGTCTGTACCTGTAGCTAAGTATATAAGAAATCACATTCCATATATTGCCACCTCAGTTTTTGCTTTTGGTAACATTTTTAGGTCAATGCTTAACTCTTTTTAGAGTTTGAGTCTTAAATGTTATTTCAAGTTACAGGCACTTAGTAAACACAGAAAATAATTTCAGCAGGCCTCACAGAAATGAAACTGTATTTAGAATACAGCAGCAAGTTTAGTCTGCTGCCCTTCCAGTGACCCAGACCTTGTCTTCCATCTCTATTACTGACTCTCTCTCTTGCTCTTATCTCCTATCACCATGGCTACTAGTGCCCTCTAGTATTGCCCTCATTCTAAATTCTCACCTTCTGTGTGTTTTACATTCAAAATTCCCCAAAAGCAGAGTTCAGTAATTCAGTTGGTGTCTTTCTAGCATATAGTATCCCCGTTGGTCAGAATTCTTCTTGAGAAGCTAGTTCATAGTCATCTAGCTTATGGATAGTAACCTTTGTCCCAGGAACCAGTCAGTCAGTCACACAGCCTGTGGTTAAGGCCTGAGACTGCCTTACACAAAGGAGGACTATAGACTTAGTAGGTCTGTCCTGTCCAGTTCAAAGCCATTTAGGTAAACACTGTTAACTGATGACTTCCTAATTCCCACTGATGATTTAGGTCCATAATTCTCACACAGAGGCAAGTGGACCCACAACCCCTATACCAGGAAGCCAAAAGATAAACATATAAACATGGTATATCTTTCTCTAGTGTCACATTTACTCAGATTTTAGGTATGAAAGATTTGAATTTTTGTCTTAAAGGGTTTTGAATTTTAAAACAATTTTTAAAAAATCATAGGTATAAGTAGGATATAAAATTTTTTTGAATTTTAAAGATAAAAGACTCTAAGAAAATGTATGCTTATTCTCAGCGACTTTGGCCTATAGTTAGAAATGCTTTGGAAGTCAGTTCAGGTCCGAGATTAGCCATGACTTCACACATGGTTTGAGTAGAGTCAGCCTAGAAGTCCAGCCATCATGGGGGGTCAGATAGGGGGAGTTGTGATAAAGGGGTGGGAGTCAGTGAGGACACTGAATACCAAACTGGGTTCATGGCCTGATTTTAAGTGGCTTAAAGTGATGGGGCAGTTTCAGAATGTGCTTGATGACCCAGCCTGGGATGAATCTGTTTTTCTGCCAATATCTTCCACAAGCCATAATTTCATCAGCTTCCTGATAGCTAAACATTTGCCTCAATCTGGTCACCTCACCATATAACTATATAAAATGCGATACCTACATTTTTTTTAATTGTTTCCTAGGCTCCTTGGGCTTAAGATATAAAAATAAGCCCATACTATCTTTTAATACATAACACACTTTGAAAACCATATCTTTCCAGTCTTGTTTTCTTATAGACTGTTTGATATTAAGGAATTATAAATTTTTTGTATGATAATAGTATTAAAGCAACATTTTTAAGAGTCTTTTTTTTTTTTTAAAGATTTTATTTATTTATTTGAGAGAGAGAGACTGAGAGATAGAGAGCACAAGAGGGAAGAGGGTCAGAGGGAGAAGCAGACTCCCTGCCGAGCAGGGAGCCCAATGCGGGACTCGATCCCGGGACTCCAGGATCATGACCTGAGCCGAAGGCAGTCGCTTAACCAACTGAGCCACCCAGGAGCCCACCCAAGAGTCTTTTTTTTTTTTAGATAATTGTATATTCACATGCCTTTGTAAAAAATAACATAGAGATCCCTTGTATATATTACTCAGTTTCTCCCAGTGGTAACATTTTTCAAAACTATAAATAATTCAGCTATTGATATAACTTACCAGTCTTATTCAGATTTCCCTAGTTTTACTTGTTCTCATTTGTGTGTATGTTAAGTTCTATATAGTTTTAGGACGTGTAGGTTTGTGTATCGACCACCACATTCAAGAAACTAAATAGTTTAACACCACAGGGATCCCTCCATTATCACCACACTAGTCACCTACCTCCTTCTCCTACCCCTTACCTTGTTTCTCATCCCTGGAAACCACTAATCTGCCCTTCATTTCTAAAATGTTATATATATGGAATCATATAGTATGTGACCTTTTGGGATTGGCTTCCTTAATTCAGCATAATTTCCTAAAGAGATCTGATTTGTTTTGCGTGTCAGTTGTTTTTTTATTGCTGAATAGTGTTCCATGGTTTGTACATACCACAGTTTGTTTGACCATTCCTGTCAAAAAACATCTGGGCTTATTCCACTTTGGGGCTTTTAAAAATAAATAAGTGCTATAAATATTCATACATAGGTTTTAATGTGAGCATAAATTTTCATTTCTTTGAATAAATGCCTAGGAGTGCAGTTGCTAGGTTGTGTGGTAACTATATGTTTAATTTTTAAAGAAACATTCAAACTGTTTTCCAGAATGGCTATACCATTTTACATTCCCACTAGCACTGTATGAGTGATCTAGTTTTCTCCACATTTTCACCAAATATTTGGTATTGTCACTATTTTTTATTTTAGCCACCCTGATAGCTGTATAGGGATATCTCTTTGTTTTTTTCCATTTTTCTAATGGTAAGCATATGAAAAGATGTTCATCATTATTTGCCATCTGTATATATTCTTTGATGAATTACCTATGGATAATTTTTGCTCATTTTCTAATTTTTTAACTATTGAGTTGAAAATTCTTTATTCTAGAACTTTTATAGTTTTACATTTTACACTTAAGTCTGTAATCCACTTTAAGATCTGGATAAAGTTTGTGGTTCAGGTCAACTTTCGTTTTGTTTTTTTTTTCCCCCGTGGAGGTCTAATTGCCAGTACTGTTTGTTGAAGAGGCTATCTTTTCCTCCACTGAATTGATTTTGTACCTTTGTCAAAAATCATTTGAACGTATATGTGTGGGTCTATTTCTGGGGTTCTCTATTCAATTCTCTCTCTACCAGTACCACACTCTTGATAACTGTGCTATACAGTGAACCTTAACATCGGGTAGAATTCCTCCCACTTTCTTTTTTATCGAGAGTATTTACCTGTTCTAGGGCCTGTGCTTTCCATATAAATTTTAGTATAAACTTACAGATTTTCTACAGAAAATCCTCTGGGATTTTGATAGGAATTGCCTTAAGAGTTTTCATCTCTTAAAGATACATACTGAGGGGTGCCTGGGTGGCTCAGTCATTAAGCGTCTGCTTCGGCTCAGGTCATGATCCCAGGGTCCTGAGATTGAGTCCCGCATTGGACTCCTTGCTCAGTGGGGAGTCTAGTTCTCCCTCTCCCTCTGCCCCTGCTTGTGTCCCCTCTCTCACTGTCTCTCTCTCTGTTGAATAAATAAATAAAATCTTAAAAAAAAAAAAGATACATACTGAAATACATATGGAAGAAACTATGTTATTTTTAGGATTTGCTCCAAAATAATTTGGGATGAACAGGTGAATGAAACTAGAGATAGATGAAACAGGATTGGCCATAATTTTTTAAGATAATAGTAAATAATGTATCATTATACAATCTTTTCTGCTTTTGCATATGTTTAACCTTTTCCATAAGGATTTTTTAATTGCCTCATATCAAAAGGAATATTTTAATATTAAATTTTAAGCTTAAACTATAATATCTGCTGAAATTTAACTCTTCTTTAATAAGGTCTGAATTTAATATTCTATTTGTAGGTCATCGTTATTTATCAGTCCCTTTTGGAGGGTTTTATATGATCAGTTTTTAGAAAAGGAATCAGTGTTTAGCCACATTGCACCAGGTTCATAAACAGTGGACAAAACTGATACTTTGTTTCATATTTTAGACACTGCCGAGAAAGATCTAGAAAGTGCTAAACTTGTACAGATTTTACACAGACTGCTAGCAGATGAAAGAAGTGCTCCTGAAATCAAATATAATTCCATGGTCCTGATTTGTGCTCTCATGGGATCTGGTAAGCATTCCTTCTAAAATTTGAGGTCTATCAACATATGGTTGACATTAAATATAGAATAGTAGTAAATGGTGGCTTTGGGTTTTAAAAGCATTAGAAATTAGTTTCTGGAGGATATAGGATTACTTTTACTTGAAAATATTCGCAAAAGATTCTCACAATAATAATATAAGTATCCTGGGGCACCTGGGAGGGCTCAGTCAGTTGTCCGTCCAACTCTTGATTTCAGCTCAGATCATGATCTCCAGGTCATGAGATCAAGCCCTGCGTCGGGCTCCACGCTCAGCACAGAGTCTGCTTGAGAGTCTCTTTCCCTCCCCCCTGCTCACATACTCTCGCTCTCTCTAAAATAAAACTAAAAAAATCTTAAAAATAACATCATATAGAAAATAGACAAAAAAAAAGTTAAAAAATTAATAACTAAGTTTCATCAACTCTAAAATATTTTATATAAAGAACAAATTCTGATTTTGTATATCATGATATTAGCTAAGGAATTTGTTCAAGAAATCATTGGCATATTTTGGCATATATTCCATGGATACTGAAAAGAATGTGTATTCTACTGTTACTGAGTGAAGTGTTCTTGAAATGTCACTTAGATCCTTTTGGTTGTTGGTAGTGGAATTGAGTTTGCTATATTCTTAGCAAATAGAATATATTAATAGTCTGACTAATTGTTTTGTCAGTTGTTGAGACAGGGATATTGAAGTCTCCAATAATAATGGTGGATTTGTCTGTTTCTCCTTTTAGTTCTGTAAGTTTTTGCTTCACATATTTTGCAGCTCTTTTGGTAGATATATACACCTTTTGGATTGCTATTGTCTTCCTGGTGGATTGACTTTTCTATCATTATGTTCCTCTCTGGTCTGGTAACTTTTTTTCCTCTGAAGTCTGCTTTATCTGATATTAATATAGCTGCTTCTACTTTCTTTTGAATAACATTCGTAGGATCTTTTCCCACCCTTTTAATCTCAATCTGCTTTATCATTATACTTGAAGTGTAGAGAGCACCTTGTTAGGTCATGTGCTTTAATCCACTCTGTCTGTCTCTTTTAATTGGTGTATTTAGACCATTTACATTTAATGTAAGGACTGATGTTATGGCTTAAGTCTGCAGTTTCATTTTTTTATTTTGTTTCTCGTTCCTGACTTGTTACTGATTGCTTGAGCAATCATTACCCTCCCTCATTTATCTCAGATATTTCCTCTATATACATTTAGAACCACATTAGACATTGTTACAATTTTTGTTTTCAACCATCTAACATAATTCAGAAAACTCGAGAGAAGGAAAGTCTGTCGTATTTATCTACACCTTTGCTATATGGGTTGTTCTTCCTTCCTGATGTTCCAAGATTGCTTTTTTTAAACATTCCCTTTCTGTTTAGAGAACTTACTTTTAGCCACTCTTTTGGGTTAGGTCTGCTAGTGACAAATTGTTTTCTGTTATTTTAGAATATCTTGGCTTTCCCTTCATTTGTGAAAAAGGTATTCTCTGGGTATAGAATTTTGGGTTGACGGTTCTTTTTCTTTCAACATTTGAAAAATATGCCATTTTCTTCTGGCTTCCATGGTTTCTTAAGAGAAATCCAGTCTTCCAGTTCTTTATTTTCCCCTCTTGGTAAGGTGTCACTTCAAGATTTTTTTGGTCTTTAATTTTCAAGCTTGACTGTGATGTGTCATGGCATGGGTTTCTTTGGGTTCATCCTGTTTCAAGTTTGCTCACCTTCCTGAGTAGGTAGGCTTATATCTTCTGCTAAATTTGGAAAGTTTTTGTAACCTTATTTCTTTAGGTACTTTTTCAGCCCCACCCTATTTCTCCTCTCCTTTCAGGTCTCTAATGGCAGGAATGTGAGATCTTTAGTTATATCCTACAGGCTCCTGACGTTTTGTCCATTTTTTTCCAGATTATCTCCTCTCTTGTTCAAATTACCCATCTTAAAGTTCACTGATTTCTTCTGTCCCCTCCATTCTGCTGTTGAGCTTATCCACTAACTATAGTTTTGAGTTCTAAAACTCCCATTTGCTACTTTTTTATGTCTTCTGTTTCCTGGCTGAGACTGTTATTGAGGCATTTTTTAATGTAAAATATACATAAAATTTACCATTATAACCATTTTTAAATGTACAGTTCAGTGGCAGAGTAGTACATTCACACTGCTGTACAACCATCACCACCCTTTTCTTCCCCCAAACTGAAACTCAGTACTCTTTAAAAAGAGTATATATCCATGGAATATATGCCAAAATATGCCACAATCACCCATCCCTCCAGCTTTTGGCAGCCACCATTCTATCTTGTCTCTCTGAATTTGACTACTCTAGGTACCCTTTAATCATACAATATTCTTTTTTGTGTGGCTTATTTCATTTACCATAAGGTCTCCAGGGCTCATCCAAGTAGTAGTAGGTGTCAGAATTTCATTCCTTCTTAAGGCTGAATAATGCCCCATTGTATGTATATATATCACATTTTGTTTATCCATTCATCCATCAGTGGACATTTAGGTTATTGTCACCTTTGGGCTATTGTAAATAAGGCCACTATGAAAATATGGGTGCGTAGGTATTTTTTCAGTTCCTGCTTTTAGTCATTTTTGGAATATACACACAAGTGGAATTGCTGGATCATACAGTAATGGCTTCGTTTAATGTTTTGAGGAATCACCATACTATTTTCCACAGTAGCTATACCATATTACATTCCTACCAGTAATGCACATAGGTTCCAATTTCTCTACATCCTAACATTTTTTTTTTCTATAATAGCCATCCTAATGGGTATGAAGTTGTATCTTACTATGCTTTTGATTTGCATTTCCCTAATGATTAGTGATGTGGGGGATCTTTTCATGTGTTCATTGCCCACTTGTATACCTTCCTTGGGGAATGTCTATTCTAAAGTTCTTTGTCCATTTTTTAATCGAGTTATTTTGTTGAGTTGAAAGGGTTCCTTATATTTTGGGGATATTAATCCCTTGTTGGATATATGATTTACATATATTTTCTCCCATTTTGTGGGTTGCCTTTTCAATCTATTGATAGTAATCTTTGGTACACAGAAGTTTCTAATTTTGATAAAGTCCTATGTATCTGTTTTTCCTTGTGTTACCTATGTTTTTGATGCATATCCAAGATATAATTGCTAAATCCAATGTCAAAGTTTTTCCTTTATATTTTAAGAGTCTTACAGTTTTAGCTCTTAAATGTAATTTTTGTACATAGGGGCTTATGGCTCTCCCATTTTACCAGCACCATTTGTTGAAAAAACTGTCCTTTCCTTGTTGAATGTCAAATCTTTGTCAAAACTATTTTGACTGTATATATGAGGGTTTATTTCTGGGCTGTTTTATTCTGTTGATCTATAGATCTGTATTTCAGCACCACACTGTTTTGATTATTACAGCTTTAGAGTAGCTTTCGAAATTAGAAAGTATGAGTTGAGATTGTTTCGACTGTTCAGAGTCTCTTGAGATTCCATCTGAATTTTAGGATGCAGTTTTCTGTTTCTACTAAAAACATTACTAGTTTTAGACCTCACAGTCTTATTAAAGTAAATATATCATCAGTTTGAGGAATGTTGATTGCATTAAACTTATTAGACATCAGTCTTCTCATATAGCAGTCTCCAAGACTTAAGAGCCTGGTATTTTCCTGTAATTGAGGTTAAAGAGAGCAAGAAAGCCAGAAAGAGGAAGATCAGATATCTAAAAGGGAAGCCTATTGTCACAGAAATTTGTTGAAGGGATATGAAGTATAACCTGTTTCATTTGCCACAAAATTAATTTGAAACAGATCTTTTTTTGTAAGTCATTGGACTTCATATTTGAACTGATGATAGATAGGGCCAAGGGGTATATAACTGAAACTTGAGATCATGCCATGAGCTGTGTTTCATTATAACTCATTACTCTAATCAAACTTAGACTGTAGAACTTGACATCTATATATAGATATGGCAAGTAAAGTTCCTCTGATTTATTATAACACAGCTCTTACAAAGACATTTCTAGTATATATACTGGATAGATTGTATATTAAGATTAGAACAATCAGAACAGCAGCATATCTGTTATCTTGGTTTTTTGTTTTTGTTTTTTTTGTTTTTTTTTGTCTTCCAGAATCTCTACACAAGGAAGTACAGGATTTGGCCTTTCTAGATGTTGTATCCAAACTTCGCAGTCATGAGAACAAAAGTGTTGCCCAACAGGCCTCTCTCACAGAGCAGAGACTTACTGTGGACAGCTGAGAACAGCCCCTGCCTGATACATGGCATTATCCCACCTCTGATTTCCCCTTTGTCCTCCATCCAGCTGCCTCTTCTGCTTCATTTTCTTCCATATCACTTGTGCATGCGTGTAATGTTCCAGTACCAATTGAAGAACTGCTGTAGGTACCTGCCCAATAAGATTTCTAAACCCATAGTTAGTGTGAACATGAATTTGTCAAAAACAAGTCTCCACCCATAACTGTTCTCTTGTATTCCTGTTGCTTGAGCTACATTAAGTAGAATGTGCATGTTGTAGTCCTATGATGATGTAAACTTGGTACTACATAAGACTTGCTCCTCACATTTGGTAAACTACATAATAATGTACTGGTAAATTAGAAACAAACAAGAATGCAGCAGGATCTGTCTAGCTTATTAAGGATGGAACGGAATAGTAAAAACAGCACCATTTTTTGGTGCTTGGGAAGCACAGTGACCAAAAAACTGTATGGCTGCTCTTTCATTAGTCTTACCTACTAATGTCCAACCCATGGTACCTAGAGTTAAATAAAATCCAATGCTCTCACTCTTTACCCTATGGTTTCTCCTTCTTCCTAACTAACTTTGTAGACTCCTGAAACTGCCACAAACTTGGCAAGACTTCCTTGAGGCTTTTTAATTTCATATTTAATTGGCTGTCATCACTGAAACCTAACATTGAAATCATTTGTACTTTTCAGCATGAAACTGAGGGGTTGAAGAATCTGTGTTACACTAAGTAACATCTTTTTTGGCCTATATTTTAGAATCTATGTACATTTTGACATCAGCATTGTCCAACACCTGTCTTTAAAAGTTCACCTGGCATTTGTTTTCAACTGAGGAAATTGAGTATAGCTCATTGGAGGGTGGGGTTGTTGGGTTTTTTGGCTATTTTTCATCATTCAGCTTGAAAGCAAGAAGTTTCCTCTGTCATAGTCCTTTTAAATCTTATATTAGAACTAGCAGGACATAGGAAAAAAAAGATTAAGAAAATAGAACTAGCAGGACATAGAAAAAAAGATTAAGAAAGAAGTTTGTCTATACTAAAGAAAGGAAGCAGGTTATAAAAGCCATAGTAGCCAGTCCAGTTCATTCTGCAGATGGCCTCATAGCAGTAGCTGTTTAGAGTTTCCCACCTCCACTTGCCACAGAGAACTGCAATAGTTCTTAAAGCTACCAGAAAAGGTGACGATGCCAAGACTCCAGAGATGAGAAGACCCTCTTGGCGAAATAGAGTGTACTCTTCACTGCCACTACGACCACCAAATGGGTTTTTAGAACTTTGAAACACAATCTTTGTAAAATAATCAAAGATCCCTGTAACCTACGTATCTTGTCCCCATGCACAAGTTCGACAAATACTGGCTGAAAGGTGTGATGGGCCCCGATATGGAAGGACTGCAGGACAGTAGAATGGGCTGCCCGGGGTGACAGGAGCTCTTTCCTCTTCAATGGGAGATGCTGCGCATATCTGTGGGGTGACTGAAGTTGGACTTTTGACTCTGAAACAGCTAGAATTCAATAAAATTAAAACCTCAGTGGAGGTAAAGAAACTTTGATTGATTGTTCCCTTTGATGTCCAGGAAAGGGACTATTATTGTGAGTGCTTATGCTACACTTACTGTAAGAATGATCTTGTTTATTGTCTTCTTCTGGGCTGGATAGTGGACTATATTTTATTATAGGTTTTGAAAAACATCTGTAATGTTGAATAGGCTGTCCATATTAATAACTAAATAAATAGTATATCAAACTGTAATGGCATCATTTGGTTTGTTTGTATATTTTACTTCTAATTCCCGCTCCTAGAACAGTGATTGCTCATTGTTGGTGCTCAGTAAGTATTTGATGAATTCCCACTTATATAAACTTTCAGACTCCTTAAACTAATCCTAGATAGATGGAAAGACAAATGAGATTTAGATATTTGTCTGATTTCAGAGAATTTTTTTTTTTTATGGGATTGGTCCCTATTGAAAAATCCTCATATAGAAAACCTCAGAACAGAGGTATCCAAAAATTAGAGATTTCAGAGAAGCCATCATCTGGGCCAGCTACCCGCAATCAATTGATATGCTAGGAATTCCCATCTCCAACAAAACAAAGTACATATCTAATCACCACTTTTTCTGCAGAGAGACCAGAAGGCTATGCCCTTATAACAACAGAGGTCCACCAAACTAGGTGATTTCCTGCTCTGCCATGGCAGGAGGTGGGAGTCTACAGACAATACTACTTGAACTGAGTTCTGGAGGCCACCTTTAAATTAGTTTGCTACCCACTAAGAATGCTTTCTGAGGGAGAGAATGGGAGGAACTGTACAGCATAGCTTTAATTATCACTATGTGTCAGGATTAGAACATAGCTGAAAAGCAAAAAGGCCAAGAATTAGAAGGAAGATGTCTCAGTGAAAGGCACTAAAATGTGTTCCCTCCCTTCTGGGAAGGAAGCCCATTCACTCCTTGGGATCTTGCTAACCAGCCTCCAGACTGTAACCTCATTGTGCTCAAAGCAAAACTGATTAAATGCTGGCCCATAATCCAGTGTTTTCAACTTGATAAAACATGGTTTGTATATGTTATCTGATAACCATAGAGATGTAGACAAAATTTTTTAGTTCTAAAATGATTTTGTCTTAGATGGAACAAAATGCAGCTCTTAGATATAACCATTTGTGTGAAGTATTCTGAGAAACCCTGCATGTGAAGATTTCAAAAAGAAATGCTCTTTGGTATCATTAGGAAGGTTATCGTCTTAATTCTGTTGAATATAAGGGATGAAGATATCTATCACTTAGGTAAGTATTCCCCCTTTGTATTCAGCTGTTACTAGAATCATTAAGCTTAAAAGTCTTAACTCTAGGAAACCATAATATTTGGATTACACAAGTGTCTATTAAAGAGCACTTAATGATAAACTTAATAGCTGTAACCAGGAAAATTGAGGGTTATTTTTTTTCACAGATGTGCTCTCTTAATTTACCTACATACAATACATAATTATATGCCATGTAGCTTCATAGATAGATGTTTTATAGGGGTGTCTGACAGATGTGAAAACTATTTTAAGTGTGATTGGTGAAAAGAGTAAGGTCTTTAAATACTGTGTGACCTGAGGTCACATCCCGGTTCTGTTACGTACTGGCTGTGTGACCATCACGGAGTTACTTAAATTCTCTGAGCCTACTTTCTCATCAATGTCATGAGTTTAATAATCCCTACTTCCCAGATTTTGTGGGGTAACTGAAACTTCCAGAGGTTGAAGGTAAGATTGGATAGAACTGTGATACCTGTGACATCTTATGGCCTATCCCTCTTCCCTCTGGAGGGTTCCCAGCTAAAGGAACTCAAAGAACAGCCAAATGGGAGATATTTTCTATTAATAGTTTGAGGAGCACCCAGTTGTTCTCAATGCAGAATGCGTAACACCTTGCTTCCTACCCCTGAAACTGTGATGGCCAGGTCTGCAAAGTAGGCCTTGGAAGTAGGTCCCCACTACAGGACTTCCTCTTCCTGTTCAGACCTCTCTCTAAAGTGGGAGTAACAGTAGTAGTGCAATGATCTTAGCTTTTATTAATATTATTACTAAGTCAATATAAATAAAGCTGTAATACTACAAGTTCTCCTCAATATAGAAACAAAATGATCCCTCTTCCCCTTTTCAATGCTGCCCAACTTATCAGTATATATACATTTTATATACATACCTGTTCATGTATGTCTTTTTCTTAAATATCAATGGTGTGTGTTTTGCATGAGAGCTTTTGGTAGCTGTGCTCTGAATCCTGATAGAATCCACTTAGGATGGCCTATTTATCATTATGCTTCTTGACTAGACAGGCAGAGTCCCTTCATGTTGGAGGTTTCCCAGAGTAAGCCGTTCCTTTTAGGTCATGAATGGTCGGCTACAGTTTTTGAAGGAAAAAAGCCTCGCATGGAATTTATGCTCTTTTTTAAATTTAACTAATTTCTTATTCTTTCCTTCTTAGTGGACTTTTAAAAATTCATTATTTCCTTACTCTGTTTCTTCCTAGAAAACAAACAAACCAAACCTTTTTAGCCATGACACATTCTAACATTTTAAAAATGGACAGTACATATATACCTATTTGTAGTACTAGATAAATAGAAACTTAGTATGCTGACAATTCATTTAAATATTGACGCCTGTGGTTCTCCTGACATTTGTTCTCAGTCCCTGAAGTCACATTTATCCAGAGAGAGATGTAGAGCCTCCCACTTAGCAAAATGGAGGACCAGGGTGATGTTAGGAGTAGCGACTATTCTCACAAGCGACTTCACTGTCGCTTTCTCTGGCCCCCAGCATTATCAGTGCAGCTTTCAGGGAGTAAAAACTGGAGCAAGCAAGGTGGCTAAAGCATGGAAATGGGGACTCAAAGGAGGCTTGAATCAAAAAAACAAACTTGGCTTTCACCTTCACTCCTGACCTCCGAACACATTCTTAGAACTTGCCCATGGCTCAGAGATCTGTGGTTTTGCTCATAGGCATGTGTGCAATTTTATTTTACTCTGTTTAGCCCAATTGAGTTAAAACCACATTCAGGTGGTATGTGGAACTTGGTTTTTAGTTGGTGTTGGTCACATAGAGAATTTTCTGTTTCAGGGTTAGGTTTTCAGAAATTTAGCTAAATTTGTTTTATCTTCATCAAGGAAGTATAAAGCCTAATCCTGTCATACTTTGAAACCTGTTAGTTTCAGATTTGAGATTTTTTTTTTTAAGGAAATAATTTTAAAGATCTTTACTAGATCTCTGTTAAAATAAAAAATTTAAAGCCTTAACACAGACTCCTAGCATCCGAACTTTAAATGTAACAATAGATCTTTTAAAAATACATGTAATCTATTTTCACATATAATTGAGAGACATTACTTACTCTTGCAGTAGTTACTTTGTTATTTATCAATTCCCAGGAATCCTGAAGAATCTTGAAGGAAAGAAACTCTGGCTGTACCTTCACATTACTGTCAAAAATAAATTCCTCTGTGAATGGTCACTTTGAATTTTATAACCATATCTATTTTAAAATAGGCCTCCCTTCTACCAAAATAGTGTTTTCCTTGGTTGGTTTTTAAGGGACTGCCATATAAATAGAGCCAAGCCTGTAGGGAAGCTGGCTTCATCCCTGCCTTCACAGAGTTCATGCACTCAGATGAAAAACCCCTTCTCCTTTTAGGACATTTCACAGGACTCTTCCAAGGTCAGCATCACCTTTCACCAGGACCAGAGAAAGCCAGCTTTTGACCTTGTCTTCTCTTCAGGGATATTCTGCTCAGCTTCTTGGTTCTCAGTCCCTTTCCCATGTCTAGCATAGGCACATCAGATGAATACCTATAATTACATAGAATTTACGAAGGAGGCAAAGGTTGAATTACACTCTAAGATAATATAAAGGCATGTAGGTTGCAACCCAACAGCCGAAGATAAAGAGCTGCCCTAATCAGGGTGAACAATGGGGAGGAAATATTAACCAGAGTAGCTTTTATTTCAGACCCATCTCTGAAGGAATACAAAATAGTCCCTAATTTCAGTTGGGGCCAACTATCAGTATAGAAGTCCTT